TTCGGATTTCATTTTTTCTCTTTTTTGTATTACTATAGATACCTCTTCCTATATTGTTGCCGAGAATACCAGGAGGAAAAGTGAACTCTAATCAATTTCTGGTGTCTTACTCTCAATTCGTGTCATTCATCTAAGATATCTCATTAAAGCATGCTTTGGCTACCGGAAACGAACAGCCTATCATATTCGATGTATTAGCAACTTTAGATTACATCAGTTCGTCAATAAAGTGGCACGTGAAATGTTCCGAATCCGTGTTCCAGCCCAGTAGATTAGTAAAATGGTTTACCGCCTCCATCTTACGTGGAAGTGAGCCTCTCATCGCCGGATGCAGTAAGTCCTAACGATCTCTGCGGAACTGATCGACTCCGTGACAATGAATGCGAAGGCAGATGAGACTATGTATTCGGGATCTGTTCAGTGCTATTTTATTCCCGGAACACAGGCACGTGATACGGCAAAGCTTCGAACTCCGTCATTCACGAGATACCGGCACAAAGCATCCATCAAACAAAGGCCCTCATCAACCCCGGCTGACTCAATGCTCAGTCCGACGTTGCCAGAGTAGAGAGATCTCTAATTTGGGCTTGCTTACATCGGAATATTCTCCAACGCGTCCAGACCATCGAGAATTTGGATACTTCCAAAGTCTCCATGATCCAATATGCCAAAGTCTACCTTGCGAATCTCTGGTTCGGGTAAGAAGCGTGAAGATATTTTTATTGGATGTGCACGTTGATCTGCTCGTTCCCACGTCTGTACGTTGGGCTTTGGCAAAGTGTTTCGGCTCCAATAAGAATTTTTCAATGGCCGAAATGTGCTCAACAAGATATGCAATTATTGCCATTCTTTCACTCTGCAACCGTATTATGATGCCGCAGCTTGACCTTCCCCACTGTATATAAAACCCTCCCTTCTCGATCTTCAACTACAATTTGGGCTCATCGAAAACAAGTGCAGTCGACTAAGGTACTTCTCAGAAGATTATTTCTTAGACGACAAATCCACACCAAACATCCCTCCGCCAAGCCGGACCCCAAACTTCGTGGGACCAAAGCTGAACCGCGAGCCGTCAGTAGAAGAGACAGCGGCAGGGGCGGCAGCATCATCCTGCCCATTGAGCACAACCTTGAGGCCGCGCTTCTCAAAAACAGCCGCTGTTCCATCCCTCGACGATTTCCATAAGGCGCTTCTTCTTGTGCTCGCCTGCGTTTGACAACTGCCTCTTGTCGTTAACGTCAACGGTTCTGTCGAGCGCTAGTAGGTCTCGTCTCATTCTTTGAAAGAGGTTACTCGGCCCCAGGTTGAAATGTCTCCCATCATGTATTACGGCATATAAAGTCGATACTCTGTAACCAAAACCAAATGTCATTGACTGATATCTAGACAGGCAGGCTGTAGCCTCTCAGAAGTGAGATAGTGCAGCACAATACATCATGATTCTAACTACCATGTCTAGATGCCTCCAAAAAAACACAAAAACAAAAGAGTTCACCCCCCCGGTGGCGAGCTGGGGGCTACATCTCTGGCGCACATGCTGGGACTCGAACACGGGACCTCTTCGCCTTCGCCGATTAGGCTGTTCGTGGACTTCAACCACTCCACCAACCAGCCAGTTTTGACCTGACCCCCAAGGGGGCGCCTGCTGGCTGGTGACGGAATTGGACTTGAGGGGGGGTATATACCCTTCTCGTGCGTTCAGATGGAAGGTGCGGTTGACGAGGGCTCGGGAGGGAACCTGGAAGGCGCGATCACCACTATCAAGGTCTTACCTTCCGCGTGATGAAGTCGAAAGAGGATTAGTCATCTGGCCTACTTTATGTCGTGAAGATGGTCGATTCCCGTTCTCCATATGATAATTGGATAGGTACCTATAGTTGCAAAGACGACGGCCCTGGTAGCATAGGAGGTAGATAATGCCATTGGCTCCCCTGGAATTCTGTCGCCCCAATTGAATGGCCTTTTCCATCAGTTTACTCGAGGCTGAGTAAGGGAGCAGGTTTATATGACAAAACATTACTACTACCATCGGCAAAAGGAAGCCAGACATTGAGAGTAATGTGTCTTTTATGAAAGCCGTTCGGGAAGAAAAAGAACCCGTCATTACCATCTGCAGGGAGAGGAACATCGCGCCTCGTAAATCCCAATCGGGGTTGAACCCCGCGTCGACCATAAGCTGCATCGACACCTTGTCGTTGCAACGGTTGCACCCGCCAAGGCACCGGTAAGCTTATCGGGACGTAGATCGGGCTTTGGGGAGCTCTTCCTCATGCGGGGGAGATGTCTAAGCGAGACAGGGGAGCCACGATCTACAGAGGCGTCACGGAAAACTTCTGAAAGTAGGGCAAGAGGACGGCAAAGGACATGTGGGAGACTCATGGCTATTTAAGGTCGGATGCATCAGTTCAGTGTTCATAATTTCACACCCCACCTCAAAGACTCCTCTTCACGATCTCCAGTACTATTCCAGGAGCATCAACCTGCCTTACACATCATGGTCCTCTCCACAATCACAGCGTTCACAACCTTCCTCCTCCTGCTTCTCCTCAACCTCCCTCTCACGACCACAGCCCAACCCGCCCCAAACGAAACCTCAACCTACACCTACATCGTAATCGGCTCCGGCCCAGGAGGCGGCCCCCTAGCCTGCAACCTCGCCCGCGCAGGCCACCCAACCCTCCTCCTCGAAGCAGGCGACGACGAGCGCGACGACATCCGCACCGTCATCGCCAACGGCGGGTACTTCATCACCCCGAGCAACAGCTGGTCCTTTTTCGTACGGCATCACGCGGATGACGAGGTCGAGCTGCGGAATAACCACCTCACGTGGCGGCTGCCCTCGCAGAATGGAACTGGTATCGGACCGTACTGGGTCGGCAACGCGGCGAGGGCGCCAAAGGGGGCAGAGTTGTTGGGGGTGTGGTACCCGCGCGGCGCGACGGTGGGAGGATCGAGCGTGACGAATGCGATGGCGACGTGGTTGCCTAATGATTCGGATTGGGATTTTGTGCAGAATGTCACGGGGGATGATTCATGGAAGTGAGTTTTGATTACATGATTGTGAAGGTATCTTAAGAGATTTGGACAGGAATAGCTAACTTAAGCATGGGGAAAGCCACAAGAACATTCGTCAAATCTTTGAGAGGGTCGAGAAGAACAACTATCTCCCTGAGGGCACGCCGGGTCACGGGTTCGACGGCTACTTTAACACGAATCTAGGCAATGGGTCACAGTATCTCAATAACCCTGGTCTCATGGACATTCTCAAGTCGCACTTGCGGTCTATTGGGAAAGACCCGGAGAAGCTCATCGAGATGGTGGGCAGCGACGGGAACTTCCTCAGCGAAGATAGAGACACGACGGAGGGCATGTGGGGGCTGTCATTTCATGCCACGGATAAGTGGGAGCGGTACAGCTCTCGCACGTACATCTATGAGACGCTGGCAGCCAAGAACGCAGATGGCTCTCCTAAGTGGCCCCTAACCTTGTCGACGAATTCTCTGGCCACGAAAGTCCTATTTGAAGAGACGGAGGGCGGAAAGCCTAGGGCCGTGGGCGTTGAGTATTTGGCGGGCAATTCCACGTACGGTGCCGACGTGCGGCGAAACGCGTCAACGACAGGCGAGACAAGACGAGTAATGGCATCTCGGGAGGTCATCGTTGCAGGCGGTGCTTTCAACTCGCCCCAGCTACTACAGCTCAGCGGCATCGGAAACAAAACGGACCTTGAAGCTCTCGACATCGAGGTCGTGGCAGACTTGCCGGGCGTGGGGCGAAACCTCCAAGACAACCAAGAATTCCCGGTTGTGGGCCACGCTCAACTTAACCTCACGGCTACTCCAAATCCCAACGAGCCAATCTGCGCCAAAGGAAGCCCCGGAGACCCATGTGAAGAGCTGTGGCGACAGGGAAAGGGCCCGTACATGCGGCCAGGATACAACTCGAACGCGTTGCTTCTAAAGTCCAACTTTTCGCTGACCGGAGAGCGAGATGTTTTCGTCTTCAGCTGGCCAAGGGCGTTCCGCGGGTTCTGGCCCGAGGTGCAGCAGCCGGAGCTCCTCGATCCGCCGAATACCGTTGGCTTCTCAACAGTCAAGATGCATCCGCAGAACACAGCCGGATACATCAAGATTCGGTCCGCAGACCCGACGGAACCGCCGCAGATCAACTTTGAACTGTACAAGGAAGGCGCCGAGACGGACCTTGAAGCACTAGCGGAGGTAGTGGCGTGGGGCCGACGGAGCATGCGGGACGTCCAAGGTCCGTGGGGTCCTGTGGATCCGGCCGAACCTCCGTGTGCGCAAGTCGAGAGTAATGGCCGCTGCGGCGATGCGAACCTGGAGTCGGATAAGGATTGGATCCGGGAGCAGACTTTTGGGCATCATCCTACAGGGACGTGCAAGATGGGTGCGGCTGATGATGGCATGGCGGTGGTGGATTCCGAGTTTCGGGTGTTTGGCGTGGACGGGCTCAGGATTGTCGACGCGAGCGTGTTCCCGCGGGCTCCCGGAGCATTCCCTGCCGTGGCGACCTTTATCGTTAGCCAGAAGGCGTCAGATGTGATGCTGGGAGGTCTAGGAACGTCAGAGCCACAAGGGATGATGGTGGTAAGCCAGGGTAGTTAGATGAGACGACGTTGCGCGGGGTATCGAGTATGAGAAAGTTCTGAGTTCTTCCATGCATGCTGAGATGCGAAGATGTGAAGTGCCAGCCACGAGCCGCGTCGCCCTGTCGTCGCGTCGCAACACAACTGGATGGGAGTGTCGCAGTGTGTCCTCAAAGCAGTCGCGTCGTATCCGTACCGAAGAGCGTCATCTACCTTAGTCCCTTGTGTTTTCGTTGGGGAATCTGTGTCGCTCAGAATGGGATGAAGGGAGGATGTCAGGGTCGTCTGATGTTCTGGAGCCTTCCAGTAGATGGGATGATTGGAGAAGAAGCATGTGAAGGTATCTCAGCTACAAGATTGGGTGGGAGAGATACGTGGCTGGAGTGTGGCTCTGTTAGCGGGGCTTCCTTCCATGCTGCTGGTTGGAGCACAGCCACAGTTCTCCCCACTCCTGGCACGAGCTCTTCAAATCCGCAGGCGATGACGTTTGGACCTCGCCCCCTCCTGGTCCACTTTCCCCCTCTGATGATGGAAGCTGGCACTGGGCCCAGACTGGCCCCTGCTCCTTGCTTGCCGCTCTCGCTCCTGCACTTGCTTCCTCGATGCCCAGCCAGACAGGGCAGCTACCACCGGGTAGCCCCTCTTTCTCTCTCTCAACAGGGTCCCTGCTCTTTGTGGTGCCCAGCATCGTCACCAGCTGGAGGCCGCCCCTTCTGTCCCTGAGTCTGGGCTGGCATGTCGGGACGTGGATGGCTGCTCTTTCGTTGCCTGCCTTGGCTAAAAGGTAAAGCGCGTTCTCATGACCCTTCGTCTGATCATCATAGGTACTCGCCTCCAACATTCCCATCCAGACACGTCCAGTTTTTACATAAAACCCATCATCCACACGATTTCGAGCCACGTTCTTTCTGCTTTTCCCCAGATACCCCTCCAACTTGAGAGACAACGTACATAACCGCCCTTGATACCCCATCCAGTCTCCAGTTACCCCTCACAAAACTCCCTCCTACAACACTTCTCACAACACTCTCAATAACTTCAAACGCCAAACAACCGCAATCATGTCAAACACCACCGTTCACGTCAAGAACATCGCTTCGGCGACCGAGGACAAGGAGATCAAGGACTTCTTTAGTTTCTGGTAAGTTCAATCCTGTCGGCTCTTCCATGGCCTGATACCCGCCCCTGTTTTTACCGCAGCTCCAATTGAACAACTGCTGACATTTTGCAGCGGCAAGATCACCAACATTGAGGTTACTCCCGCCGGCGAGACCAAGGATGCTGCCGTCACTTTCGAGAAGGAGACTGCTGCCAAGACGGCTCTTCTCCTGAACAACACTCAGCTCGGCACCTCTCACATCACCGTCACCAGCGCTGGTGGCGACCCTACCGATGATGCTCCTCACCACAAGGAGAATGCCGACCGCGACTCGGACGACATCACACAAGAAGAGAAGCCTCGTTCTCGCATCTTTGCCGAGTACCTTGCTCAAGGATATGTTGTCGGTGATGCCGCCCTGCAGCGCGCCATCGAGCTCGACAGCCAGCACGGTGTCTCCAACCGCTTCTTGACCACCCTCCAAGGTCTTGACTCCAAGTACCACGCAACCGACCGTGCCAAGGCTACAGACCAGTCCTACGGCATCACTGCCAAGGCCCAGGGCATCTTTGGCGGTCTCAGCTCGTACTTTGAGAAGGCCACCAGCACGCCCACTGGCAAGAAGATTGTTGGTTTCTACGAGACCGGCTCCAGACAGGTGCAGGACATTCACACCGAGGCCCGTCGCCTTGCCGACCTCAAGAAGGAGGAGCACGGCGGCAGCGCCTACAAGGCCTCCGGTCTCGAGAGATTCCTCGGCAAGGAGAAGGCTGCCCCCGCTGCCACTGGCGAGACCATCGGCACTCAATCTCCCATCCAACCCGACCCCACGACAGCTGTTCCTCTGTCTAAGCCGTCGGCCGCCACCGACGAGAAGACTCCCTTGTAAAAGAGTGATGAGAACTGGTTTGCAAAAGGTTTCGAAGGCAGGCGTTGGCTGGGTTCATTAGGCACAAACGTTTCATGATTGCGACGCGTGTGATTTCCCTTGGCACTTAGGTACTTATGACTTTGAATGCAAATCGAAGCATCGAGCATTTGTCCAACTCGCTGCACTTTGAAATCTGATGTGACTGCATTGGCCTGGCTGTGTGTATTGCCCAACTGAATCATGCCGGTGATTCCGTCCTTCCTTCGTGAAAGGTGAGTTTACCGTGTTTGGATTAATATGGATGACGAGAAACCTCACAGTTTTGGAGGCTTTGAGCCGTGGTGGTTGGCGAACTTTTGCAAAATAATCGTTGAGTGATTGACGCCGTAGTCGAAATGGTGTAGGATGAGTCGTGGCTCGATTCCGGCGGTGCCATTTCATGCGCGACATTCTGCGCACATCATGACTAGGCAGGACATGATTATTTTTTGGAATTCACGGCAAAGTGGACGCTGGTGGTTTCAGATGCTTCTCGAGCAGTTTAGGTATTTAGAATACAGCCTCACACACTATCGCAGTATGCAATGTCATTGCCTCATGTTCCCAACGCCTTTTTGTACAAATGCCACTAATGACGCTCATGCCCGTTGCTTTACTGAGTCTTGGAGAACTTCTCCTTGAGGGCGTCATCGAGGGGTCCCTTGGGGTTGGACTCTAGCTTCTGTGATGAGGGGAGATCCGGTTAGACTCTGAACATGTATCGCGGACTAGCTATAATTGATAATGAGGGATGGCAAACGTACATCGAGAGACTCCTTGTTGGTCTGTTCCTTGTTGGAGGCGTTGTCGGTTCCCTTGCCTGAGGCGGGGGGGTCTTGTTGCTGGGCGCCGGTTTGGCGTTCAGGCTCGGGGGATTGACGTCCTTCAGGCATTTTGAGTGATTGTGTAAGGTGGGAGTTTGGTTTGAGGTGACTGAATAGTTTAGTTGTCACGGAATGGATTGGTCGTGTCGTGGTTTATGAGGCTGGTGGATGGAGAAGAGAAACACGTTTAGGAATGGAGAGACATGGATTAAATACGAAGGCTAAGGCAGGTAGCTCACGGCTTATGGTAGGACGGAGGGAATACTCCTGTGGTACATCATTCTACATCACGTTTACGATATTCATCCAGACGAGGAAAGAGGGGCCAGAGGCCGGTCCAGTCTCAGTATGGAGGGGCTCTTGCGTCAATGGAGGGGCGTTGCACGGAGGCGCTTCTCTGACCTCTACCTACCTTGTGCTCTTCGGTGAGGTAGAGAGAAGGGCGCTCTTTGAGTGGTGGGACATGGTCGAATGAGGGGGGATTAGCAGCTGGTTGCTGATTGCGGCGGTTGACATGTTGATGCCGTCATGCGGCATGCGAGTGGTGGTGCGCTGGTGGTTGGATGAAAGGTGACGGGCAGGTGCTTGGAGCTCGAGGGGCGGCGTTGGGTTTGACGTCACCTTCCATTTGTTGAGGATGAGGAGGGAAAGCTCGCTCGATTCGATGGCTTGCTTTATCGATAAAGCTGTCCAGGCTGCCCGCCCTGTGGTGTGTTATCCGTTATCTTATCTAATCTACGAGCAAGCATTGTCGAAGTTTCCATTGGTGGGTCCGGACAGTGAGCGGAAATATCGCCGAGCTCGGCGGGAATCCAAAAGACGGAGCGCAGGAGCTGCAAGGGGGACGACAGCGGAGGGCCCGCTGAAGAATGTCGCTAGGAGAGTAGCCGACCGGAGCGGACGCCTTCCGGTACTGGGCTAGGGACCTAGAGGTGCGTGTCGCGATAGCTTGCATCGCAGGTGACGCTTGTCATCGCGGTCGATTGATGGCAAGACCATTCTCGTGAGTCTCGTCTCTCATATTCTGTCCCATCGGTGGGGTCGGATCGTCTTCGCTGTGAGATTAAAAGGTACGGAAAAAGCAAAGTCGTGGTTCCTCTGCAAATTGTCGGAAAATGGGATGTCTCATGTTTCCGCCTCAGACACATCCTGAGTCGAATCAAATATCAGTCGGAGGAGTGGTGTGTGGTGCCGTGTCTTCATACGGGGATCCAAAGTTCGTGGACTATGGGACTTTGGTACAGTATCCGTTCGTCGATGCCGATCTGTAGCCGGTCGAATGTTGACTGTGTTGTAACTCGAGCGGTGCAGCCAAAACAATCTGATAATTCCCATGTTGTGATGCAGTGGAGCGCGCCAAGTGATTATGGTCGTCCCATCCCCAACGCTCCCGCATATCCAGATGAACACGGAGAGAAATGCTGCCCTAAATGCTGCGAGGAGTGCGAGGGTGCCATGGTTAATTAATAGAAACCTGCCCCTTCCAGGCCCTCCAGGCTTCAACACGCGGCCTGGAGCATCGCAAAAAACAGGCTTCAGCCCTTCGGCACGATATTGAGGGAGCATTGGGGCATTTCGGGGTCCCTGTTTTTGGGCGTTATGGACAAGGGAAGCAATAGTAAGAAAAAGTCTAAATCGCGGGGCACACCACCCGAACGGGCAAAACAGGCACAGCGTTGATGGTAATCATGGCAGAAGGACGGGCTTGCTTGTCTGTTTGGAACTCGGGGATATTGGAAATGCGACTATTGGTGATTTACTCAGGCTTAGGAAGCACGAAAGTGGTGTCATGTCTCACTGCCTCGGCCGAGCGGTTTCGAAGCCCATGAGATGGCCCGTGGATGATGGCGGATCGGCTTGCAATGTTTCGATCCACGAACAAACGGGGGGCTACTAGTAAACACGGCACATGCACGGGATTCAAGGGATGACAGGACGGGAAGCCACATGGACAACACACGGATGGGGCAAGCTGCAATAAAAAGTTGGCTAAGAACAAGCGGCAGATGCCAAACGGACAATAAGACGAGCGAAGAAGAAAGCGACGAGTTGACGATCATCAACGACGAGTCCGTAACTGGGAAGGCGGCTCTTGCTTGCCTTGTCGAATTGGGAAAGGAGCGGGTTTGTCTCGCGGCAGGTGCTCCAAGCTAAGACCAGAAACAGCCGAAAGAGGGAAGGCAAAGCCCACCTCAGACTCAGACTCCAGAGTGTAAAGGGAGGAAAGGGCAGGTTGGGGGTGATGGAGTCATTGGGATCAACAACAATGGGTGGTCCCTGCCTCAAGTGTCTTGTGCCTTGTACCTTAAGTCGCACTTCCACCGGGAAGGTTGCGCCTCGCACCTGCCCACCTGCCACACGACCTTTGTTTGTTTGACGAAGGAAGGCACAAGGTGCGACCCTGTCGGAAGGAAAACTCTACCTTTTTTTTTTTTTTGACTTCACTCCCTCACGATTGTTTCTCTTATCCCAACACACCCAAACAGCTTTTTTTCCGATTCAGCGATTCAGCCAAGCTTAAGGCGTAGCTTGCTTCACGATAGCAACATACCATCACGAAGAAACACTAGAATCAACAAGCATGAACAACAAATAACTAGAAAGGCCGTACAAATTGGTCGCTAAGACTACTAAACACCATTGCTATTCTTACAAGACCAGATCCAAACATTTTTGCTAGTAAGCCCCGAAAAGCCGTACAAATGACACGCCAAAGGAATTACATGTCCGTAAACCATCGTCAAAACAGTATCCGATAGATCCACCGCGCGAGTACAACAAATCATGCAATCATTAGATGCGCTTATTTCTTCTTGCCGCCACCAAGAGCCTTGGTCAAGCTGCCGAGGCCGAGGCCATCCAGCAGGCGGTTGAGACCGAGGGTTCCGAGCAGACCATCGACAATCTTGCCGAGGCCAAGACCGTTGAGAAGACGACCAACCAGGTTCAGGACACCAGTCAGCAAAAGACCGACGGCAGCCAGAATCTGGAACAAAGGCTCGGTGAGAAGTCCCCAGAGAGGGTTGAGCTCGGCCTTTGCCTTGGGAAGGTCCTCAAGCTTGCGCTTGGCACCTTCGACGGTTTCGGTGATGGTACCGGTCAACTGTCATCAACGTTAGCATGCATTCAAGGTCATGATGATATTCGTATCAGAATTAATCTCACCTCCTTAAGGACCTCAGCGAGGTGGTGTTCCTCGGGAGTAGCCTCACGAGTCTGGGCCTTGGCCTTGGCGTTCTGCTGGATGCGTCCATCAGGATCCAAGGCACGAACGCTGCCGTTCAACTCGGTCAAGAGCTTGCCACCCTCCTCAATGAGAGGCTTGACATCCTTGACCAGCTGCTCCTCGTCACGCTCCTCCTTGGGCTGGCGCTCAGCGGCCTCAATCTTCTGCGTAATCATCTTGCAGATGGGACGGAGACGATCCAAGCCCTGCTCAATCAAGCCACCGAGGTTCTTAGCCAACTTGCGGTCGGCCTCAGCCTCGATGCGAGCCTGCTTCTCCTCCTCGGTCTCCTCGGGAGTCTCCTCCTCCTCGACGATATCCTCGACGAGGGTGACGTGTCCGACGACACGGTCCTTGGAGTCGACAACGTCATTATCGCTGTTGACCTCCTTGCCGGAGCAAATGGTGACCTCGCCAGTGGTAAGTCTGCCGATGATGTTTCCATCCTCGTCGCAAACCTCACCGTTCTTGTTGACCTTGCGGCCCTCCATAGGTCCCTTCTTCTGAGGAAGATCGGAGATGGCAGTAACGTGACCAACAACGCGGTCCTTGGAGTCAACAACATCGTTGTCCTCGTTGACCTTCTTGCCGGCGCAGATGCTGAGCTCACCGCTGGTAAGCTTACCAAGAGTCTCGCCATTGTCGCTGACGACGAAACCTTCCTTGTTGACAACCTTGCCTTCCATGGGGCCCTTGGGCTCAGGAATGTCCTCGAGAAGCTCGACATGACCGACGACACGTCCCTTGGAATCAACAACATCGTTGTCCTCGTTGACGGGCTTGCCGGCGCAGGCCTTAATCTCACCAGAGGTGAGCTTGCCAATCACATCGCCATCCTCATCAACAACCTCGCCGCTGCGGTTAACCTTGCGGCCTTCCATAGGTCCCTTCTGTCTCTCGGGAGCAGCCTCGGGCTCCCAGCGCTCAGCTTTGCCGAGTAGGTTGCCATTGCGGTCGAGAATATCACCATCCTCGTCGATAGGGCGGCCGAAGAGAACCTTGGCGTCACCCTGGACAAGACGACCGACAATATCTCCAGAGGGAGTGACAATGGTACCGTCCTTGGCGACAGTGCAGCCAGGGAGCTCAGCGAAGGGACCCTCCTTGGATCCCTCACGGTCTCCCTCAGCGACAAGCTCAGCTCTTCCGATGATATCACCGGACTCGCTACGGACGTTTCCTTCCTTGTCGCACATGCGACCGATCAGGCGCTTGATGTCACCCTCGACAATGCGGCCATAGATGGTGCCGTCCTTGTCGACGACATTGCCAGCCTTGTTGACACGCTTGCCAGCGAGGGCAGAGTTGTCAACAGGTGCCTCCGGTTCAGGCTCGGGCTCAGACTCGGGTTCCCAACGCTCGGCCTTGCCAATGGCATTGCCGCTCTTGTCAAGAATGTCACCGTCGTCGTCAACCTTCTTGCCCTTGAGCTTCTTCGGGTCACCCTCGATGACACGACCGACGATGTCGCCCTCAAAGAGAACGTGTCCGTTGGACTCGACGGTTGCGCCAGGGAAGTCCTCGAAGGGAGCAGGCTCGCTAAGCTCCTCACGCTCAGTCTCGGGAATGGGCTCGGCCTTGCCAATAACCTTGCCGCTGTCGTTCCAGATCTCACCGAGCTCGTTGGCCTTGCGACCAACCAAGTGCTTGAGGATACCGGAGACGATGCGACCGACGGCCTCACCCTTGTCGTTGACGAGGTTGCCAGCCTTATTGACCTTGGCACCCTTTAGAATGGAGAAGTCAATGGTGTCCTTGAGAAGCTCCTCAGCAACCTCAGACTTGAGCTCGGCCTTGCCAATGATGCTGCCGCGCTCGTTGACAATGTTGCCCTCGGCATCGAGGGTCATGCCAACAAGTTCCTCCGGGTTGCCCTCGGCGATGCGACCGATGGAAACATCGTCGAAGACGACCCTTCCGTCCTCGTCAACCTGGGCGCCAGGGAACTTCTCGAATGGCTGGAGAAGCTTGTCGCCGGCAACCGAGACGGTGCGCTGATCTTCGGGAATGGCAGAGCGGATGGTGCTGAGGACGCTCTTGATATCATCCTTAATGGTAGACTTGGGAGCAGACTCAGAAGCAGCGGTGACGTCAATGTCAGGGACATCGCCAGTCTTCGCAGTAGCGGTCTCGGCGACATCTTCGATACCCTCCACACCGGAGTCCACACCCTCGTCGATGGCCTCAAAGCCCTCGCCCTCGACACCCTCAGTGACACCCTCGGTCTTGGGGAACTCGCCAGTCTGAGCATCCTCGGGGACCTCGGATTGCTCCTCGGGGTTCTGCTGGTTCGCCCAGTCCTCAGTGGCATCGGATTCACGAGCAGTCTCGGCACCGGACTTGGCGTCCTCAACCTGAGAGGCTAGATCCGAAGGAAGCTTGGAAACAAGGTCGGTGGGAAGCTTGGACTGAGCGTCGAATGGAATCTGCGATACGGGGATGTCGGCAGTCTGGATATCTTCCGGAAGCTCACTCTTCAGACCGTCGGGAATCTGCGAGACGGGAATGTCGAGGGTAGCGATGTCATCCGGGACACGGGACTGAGCATCAGTCTGGGCAGTGCCCGCCTTCTCAGTCGCGTCATCCTTGACGGTCTCGGCACCCTCTGTCGCCTCTTCGATGGGCTCGGCGTCGACCTCTTGCAAATCACTCTTGCCGTCGATTGTCGATTGTTCTGTGAGGTCTATCTTGGCGCCTTGGGAATCTTCAGTCTCTGTTTGGGTGTTCTCTCCGCCGGTTGTGAGCTTACCATCAGCGTCAACGTCGGGTTGCGACTTTTCGACATCCTGGAGATCGATTGGGGCAACCTCTGATGTTGTCTCGTTGTTCTCGAAGAGGTTCTGCTTCGCGTTCTCGGTCAAGGAGGCCTTGTCATCTGCCTCCTCCTTCTGCTCAGCAAGAAGCTGGGTGAGCTTCTCATCCTTGTCGGTGACAGACTGGTCGCGGTTCAATGGCTCGGTGCCACCGAGGACGCCGCCAAGAGGGCCACCACTTTGGCTCTGGCCCAAAACACCTCCAAGCAGGCCGCCGAGGGCGTTGTCTGAAGATGTGCCCTTCTCGGACTGACCGCCGAGAGCTCCGGTAACGTTGCCCAGAGTATTACCGACAAGGCCGCCTTGGGAACCCTTCTCATCTTGACCACCACCAAGGACGCCGCCGAGCACACCGCCCTGGCCTTCGCCCAGACCAATACCCTTGGTCAGGTCGCCGACAAGCGGTAATGTGCGGTTGACAGTCTGAACAGTGCCGTCGACAGTGTCGACGATGCCCTTGACGCCCTTGGTGGCGCCCATGATGCTGAAGCCACCGCCCTCCTTGGTCTCGCCCCCTTCCGTCAACTCGCCGAGGGGAAGAGCCTTGCCGATAACGCCGCCGTCCTTGCCGATGATATCGCCTGTCGCGGTAACGACGTTCCCGACAAGCTCTCCGGCCTCGCCTTCTGTGACCTTGCCGACAGTCTTGCCGGTCTCGTCTACCACCTCACCGGTCTTGCCAATGACACCGGCAACGAGGTTGTCGCCATGGTCTTGAATATCTTGCTCGACCGAGTATGCTACGAAGGGTCAGTGTTCCGACTCATCATGAGTCGTGTGTAAGTGAACTCACTTGACTTCTGCTCCTCACCCTTTCCCCAACCACCGGGCATGCTGCTGCCTGACTTGGATGCAGCTCCGACCATATTGTTTGTCTTCTTATTGTTTCTTTCTTGTTGTTCTTGTTCGTGTCTTGATAAAAATTCGTTGTACTCAGCGCTAACAGGGTATCTTAGAAAATGTAGCTGTTCATGAGATGATTGCATTGAATTGGGAGAGGAAAGTCAAAATCCGATACAAAGACCTGCCGGTCAGACGTCTTATACCTCAAATCCTCCAACGCAAATCAAGTTTCCAGCTGAACGTCGGCTCCCAATCTTACGTCAAGGGGAGCTCAAGCTCGAGGAGCTTCCCTCGTCTATCGAAGCTCTGGCCCTTGCTCGCGCCACAGGGTGACTTCATGGGGGGAGGGATGGCCAGCTTGCCAGTCGCCCATCATGACGCAAAGCCACACCTCGTCCGAGCCCTTGGACGGCTGGATCCCAGCTATCATGACGCAACCTTACTTGAGAAGGGGAGATGCACCTTGGGGTATGGTGTGACAGTCAGCCAGCCTGGGGAATTACCATTGGTTTCCTGATCGATCGACGGCCACCTTTCTTGGAGACGCTCAGTTGGTGTGGCTAGTGCTTCCCGGGGGTCTCCCTGCCCTGCATCATTCATTCGTCAGTTCCTCCACACACAGTGCCCCCGGTCACTTCCAACAACTTTCTTTTCCAAAATGCGGATTGCGAAGTTCATGAAGGCTGGACTCGCATGCACAGCGGACGTCATGACGCTGTTCGAAACACGAAAAATCAACTACTATTCGTCACGCTCTGCAAGTTCCCAAATCACCATCCGCGTCTATGCGCCCGCAAGCATCCGAAAGTCTCGCCCTTGTTCTCCTTTTCAGCCTCACACATCGGGCCAGGTAATGGGTCCCGAAGCCACAAGTTTGTGCAAACGGTTCGTTGCCAAGTTCTGTCTGGATGGCAACTACGATTCAAACCCTGGCCTATGTCCATCTCACTACCGTCTGAACGCCGCCGCATGCTAGTATCTACCGCTGGTTCCAGAACTCCTGAAGATCAACAACCCATCCAAAATACGTAAATCCCATTACATGGCTCATCTGGTTCCTATATGGATATTGGGATTCCCACCACCGTGAAATACAGTTGGGATCTTGATGATGAGCTGAATACCATCATTGGTTGACTTGACGTCCATGAATATCTCGGACGGGCTGGGAGTATCAGCTGATGGCTTAGACTGTCGATGAGCAGTACATTGAGGGCAGCTAGTATGCGTGTCGGGCATGTAACCGGGTCGAGGATTGCTGGACTGGTTTGAGCTACTCGACTGGCCTGTCTGCTGAACAGACTTTGCCAGAGGAGCGCCGTCAAAATGACCGACGACATTGTTATGCTTGTCGAGGATGTTCCCCAAGTGGTCCACCTTCAGTCCGTCTCCCATGCCTTCAATGGGCTTAGGAGACGGAGGCGTTGGTGGAATGGTATCGTTCTCCGCTACGTAACCGACCACCTCGCCGTCTTCGCTGAAGATCTCGCCCGTTACTGAGACTGGTCGTCCGATCATGGACGGCAGGTCACCTTCCACACGTCCAAGCACTTGACCATTCCAGTCCAAAATGTTTCCAAACTCATCAACGTACTTGCCATCCAGACCTTGCGCTAGCTCAGCAAGGTTTGGGGGCAACCTAAGGTCTGAAGACAGAGGTGTGACCTTTGGGATCGCGATCGGGGCATTCTTTTCTTGTGGCTTCGGGGTGTTGCCTTGCGACGATGATTTGGCATCTTGCGAGCCCTCGTCTATGCCATTGTCTGTGGTCCCGGTTGTCGGCGGTGTTGATGCCTCGGGACCCGTTTGGTATTGTGTAGACGATGGCCTCATTGGGATAGGTATCTCCCGCGAGCCCTGCAGGTGGACAGGCCCGCCTTGCTCTGGTTGTGGGGTGCTCGTGTAGCTAACCTGTCGATGAGGATACTCCGGAGGATTGGTTTCATGGAATGGCGCCGGCGAGGAAGCTGCCCGCGACTGGGAGTTCAGACGAGGCAGAGGCGGGCGTGAGAAGGTGGCTTTGGGCGCCTCTTCCACCCCAGCCTGTCCATCCTCGACCTCGACAACCTCATACTCATCGTGCCGGGAAGTATGATCATGATCGCTGGCTCCAGCCGCAGGTCGTGGCTCGGTATGGTGCATAGTGTGCGACGAGGATTCCGGGCGCGCAGGTACGGGACTTTGCATAGATTGCTGTGCAGGCGGCTTCGAGGCAGGGCTGTCGGGTTCGTCGCGGAGAGTTTGGAGTGGAGTCTGCTGAGCAGCAGCGGACGCCGTCATCATTGGATGATTCTGTGGGAGAAGAAGGATGTTCCGCGTCAGCTAGGCCTTGCTTTCAAAGAGAGGGGAAAGGGGAGGAAAGGGAAGCGAGGCCAGGACCGCCAGCTGTAAAGGAATGGAGAGCCGGCAACCCACCTGAGGATCGATCGACCGACCTGCTTGCTTGCTTGCTTCAGAGAGTCTGGGCGGCGGTTGAGAGAGAAAGTGAGGTGTGAGGAGGGACGGTGTTCGGTGTTGCTGTCGAGTGCGCGTGAGTGCGTTTCTCTCGGTGCACCCCTTGGTCGATACACGCGGGCAGAGGTTTTCTGATTGCTCGCGGGGCGCGGGCAGCGGTTCTGCAAGGCCTGCAAGGCAGAAGGGGGTTGGCTGAGTCGTTGTGACGTCAGGTCAACGATGAGATCGAGAGTGGATTCTGTCTTGTGTCTGCCGAGACTGGCAACTGGGGCAACCTTGGGGTTCCAGAACTGGCGAACGGGGCGACGGTTCACGTTGACTCCTTGCCAGGCTTGCTGTGCAAGGATGGGACTGTTCAAGGACTTGTCGAACCGAGATCTGTTGACTCCACAGTGTCTCCAGATACACGCAAATGTCTCCACCGGGTACTTCGGAAACGGCATGCAAAGAAGCACGAGAGGAAGGGATCGTTGGCGGGTGGTGAAGATGGCAGAATGGGAACGAGGCAAGACTCCGAAGATGGCGCCGGAAGAGCACTGAGATTGGAAGCAAAAGGTCCAACAAGGTCTGGAAAAGCCTGTTTTCCTTCGAAACACGAACGACTGTGCGAACGGCCGTGGTGCTGAATGGTTAGGCTGGCGCCTGAGCTACTGTACGGACGGAACGCACGGCTAGCCGTCAACTGTTGCTGAAGAGCACGGTGAGTGAGCATGAGCCTGGACATTCATACACGTGCGTCGACGCTATCTCAGCTGTGTTGATGGCAGTCCGGGGGTACTCAGTTGACCCATAGGAAGCTTCGAGCTTACCGACCACACACCGACCACAGACTCTGGAAAAGGCTCTTGACATTGACCCAGCCGAAACACTCAGAGTTCAGATGTGGCTCATGATTGTTCAAAGGGCACTTGATGGGAAGAATCAGCTTCATCAGAAGCTCGGGTTGGTCCTCATGCCCGAACAGCTTCAGCAGACCTTCAGAGACGTCTCGAGTTTGTCAATGGACGAAGGCCGCGTGCCATCAACGCCACAACCGACACAGGCTGGCGAAGGATGATCTCGATGGCAGCCTGAAGAGGCAATGAGACGCAAAGAGGCGAAGAAAAAGAAAGCCGACAAGAGTCCAGACCGTTGGAAATGAGACGGAGGCAGTACGATCGGCGCGATACGTTTATCGGCAGGTGGCTTGACGATTGAGACTGGTGAAGATCGCTTGACTGACATTTTCACAGCGACCAGGACGACGTTGAACGTGAGTGGCTGATGCTCCCACCCGATGCGCCGGGATGCGACGCAAAAATTTCCCGTTCAGCCACGGTTACCCTGCACGTCTAGCGTTTTTCGACCGTCTCCGTACGATTGCGAGTGTCTCCGCCACACAGAGTCGAGACGGTACTGTGGATACCGTTTACCGGGCCTTCTTACGGATATGAGGTGGGGAGACTTTGAGAGGGGAGCAAGGGGGGGCCGTTCCACCGTTACATTTGGCGGCGGGCGACCAAAAAAGACGACTCACTCACACACCAACTCAATCCTGGGCCTGAGTTACATCGCATCATGTGGCTGCTTCGCTGCGGCAACATTGGACGGACAGGGAGGGCCGAAGCCGCTCTGTGGCTTGACCATTGACATCGGCCGGCCAAACTCTAAGGTTCTTTCTTCCTTTTTCCTTCTCTCACTCCATGTCTCGGTGAGCACTTTTGACGACGCGAAATGAAGTCAGGATCCCAGCATGATCCCGTCAGGACATTGAAATTTTGAATGCGTTGTCTCTGGGCAGAATAAACTAACGCTAGTTAAGCCCAGGAGAAACGACGCATGGAAAGCAAGGCACAACGAGTATTGTCTGCAGTAGTCTCTGGCGCCGTCGCTTTCCAGCTGTGTATCCAGCCACTTCTTCCAGGTCCTCCAGCCGACACTCCCACGCCTTCGTAATTCGCTCCCGATGACACTAGCCTCTGGAAGGAATGAGCAACCACACTGTTGACTGTGCTGGTTGGGTGGGTGGAGAGCACCCCACCGTCGCATTGGAGATTTGCCCCGTCACCGAGATCAACGGCGCCAGACGTGAAGCGTGAAACAGACGGAGGCTAGTGGAAATTGGCGCTACGAACGGTTGCTGGCCACCGTCTCCGCCCCTTGGCATGCTTGACGGCGGATGTCACAACACATGGCTCTGCCTGTTTTTTCGACGCTACTCCACACGAGCTTGGCACTTAGCGGGTGGCTGAGGGCATTGATGGTGTGCTGAAACCAACGACACGCGCTAAGTCTGTCAACAGAGTTGATTCGCAGTTCTATCGAGGCTTGGGATCATTGGCGTTCTCAGGCCCTGTAGGATATGTCCATTGAGTATGGGGGGAGTGTCAGCATACTGAGATGTGAGTGAGGTAAGTTGAGGGAAGGTGAGGGCGCGTGTGTGGGAACTTGTCACCGATGGCTGCAGCATCTCATCATTTGATTGGTCTTGGTCAAGTATCATTCGTTAAAAGAAACTGTTCAGAATGCTTTGGCTAACGTCGAATAAGATACCCATAAAACTTCCCGAAATAGCGTCCGTATCTCATGA